ACACAGTTGAGGGCACTTACAGTACAATTAGCTCTTTAAGAGAATTTGAATTGTGGCATGCAGAATGTAATGACAGCATGCAAAATGGATTCACACAGTGATGACATTTGTTTTTTGTGAAACAAAAAATGTCCTTTTTTTTACTCACCCCTGTCCTCTAGGCCCCTTCCTGAGGCTCAGCCTTGTTTCTTCGTCTCTTCATAGTGGGACAATGCTACTTGTGTCTGTACAGCATTTTTAGTCTTCAACTCGCCTCAACTCACAATTACCATAGTACGGGCTGGGAGGAATTGAAGACTGAAAATGACATACAGGATTACATATTTCCCACGTCCATTAGAATAAAACCTAATTCCTGAAAGTTTTATTGATCTAGGAGCTTAAATAGCTGCTAGAATGATCTTACTGACACATACAAAAACACTGGAGTGCAAAATTCGCATGTATATTCCAATATATAGACTACAGAAGAAATGAGAGTACTGATGATATTAATAGTATCGCTGGTATTAAGTGTACAGCAAGAAACTGAAGTGGTGTTGTACAAACATTCCTTAAGGTATGTTTCATACAGCATAACATCATTGATAAAACCCAGTAAGAACTTTGCATACATTATGAGGTTCGTATGTTTTAACTCAGCACATGCCTGAAAAAATAAGTACTCTGTTTTCATTTATTTCAGATATACAGTATAAGCATAATTTATTGCATAAGAAAAAGGAATAATTAAATCCACGTCACTACCACTGGTTGAAAAGTAAAATATATTCTGTCCTTTAAGTTTTTTTTAACAAAGATAAATAATATTGCCAACTTCCTGGATACCAACAGGACATTAGGGGGGCTTCCTTGCACAGTTAGGACAAATCAGATAAAAAATGCATCCCTTCAGTGTCTTTTTGATATAATCAGGCCATGGATAGGTAAAGATAGGTAAAGAGGAGAGTGTCTGGTCTCTCTACCATTCTTTAGCAGATTATTAAATTGCAAATTGTATTTGAGTAGTGTTGATTTAGGAAAACTAACATGTCATTCTACTGTAATTTAATGTATTCGTATCCTAAATGATTTCTTCTGATGGTGTAGGAAATGGCAAATACTATATCAGCGTCTTTCTGTGTGCCTGTTTCTTGATCTAAACTAGAAAGGAAAAGCAAAAAGCAGAAGCCTGTGATTACAAGTTTGAATATTTGTAAATTAAAATGTGATTAAATTCAACATCATTTTGCAGCTGTTTGTTTTTTATCATGGTGTTTCTGGACATGACTCTGCTTAAGTCTCAGAGAAAATTTGTTTTGATTTCAAATTGGCATCCATTTGGCACCTTTACAAAGATATCCTCTTTAAAGGAATATGAAAGAGTGAATTGAAATGTATGCACAGCAGCACAAGTAACTGCATTTTCAATTAGTTAATTTGTTTCATTTCAGTTGATGTTAATTTTACATAATATGTACTGCATATAAATGAGGTTACACACAACTATTCATGAGATTTTGGTTGGACAATTTTCAGTTATTCCTTATCCCATATTTACTTTTTAGATGTATTTTTCTTCTTCCTCTGCATACACCTCTCACCTTTTAACCAGCAACCTCAGGACTTTAAAAAAACAATGCCTTGTGGGAAATTAATTAACACACATTTTTTTATTACTAAGAGCATCATGGTCACACCAGCGTCCAGCATACCAATAATTAGAGACAAGAAGATTGATCAGGTTTGTTCTAATTTCAAATGGGATATCCACATCCATCATGAGATTCCTATCTGTTGTATGTCACATTTCCTTGTGACAGGTAAGATGAATGGATGAACTGTGTATGATGAATGGTCAAGGAAATCCACCAGATGATGTATACATGTTTCTACTTCAGTGGTGCGCAGTGTTTTGTGATTACAGTACATGGAGACACTCCTTGTCATTATTATAAAATAGATTCACCAAACTATATATATCCCCATGTGTCATCACATTTTTACAACTGCCACTCCCTCCATGTCCTGTAAAATTAAGAAACGGCCCAGAGATGTCTTGGTTATACAGTATGTACCAAACACAGCAGATAAGACTTACAAAGGTATCTGAAAGAAAGGAAATTGAATTTACAGTACATCATTTTTTACATTTGTAGCACTAGCACTCTGTTAATTTCTTTCTAGATTTGGAATGTTTTAAGTTGACGTACAGTTATACACACTTTCAAAATTCATACATAATTATGGAGGGTCAAATGTGTTTTTTCACTTCCTCTCTCTCTCTCTTATCCTTTCCTTTCCAAATGAAATAAAAGGGAGCAGGAGCCTATAATGTAGAATGTGATTGGCAGGATGAGACATTCTGTGAGATCGTGTGTGCATGAAATATGGCCAGTTTAACTGTGTCCTAAAATACTTATAAACATTAGCTAGTGTCATCTGGAGACAGTTCAACTCTTGCACAGAAAGATTAAAAGTAACGTAGGTGGCATATAAGCTGAAGAAGAACAATTGCACGTGCTAATTCAATAATAATGGGCAAAATGGTATCCTGGTGATTAGCTGTGATGTCCTCCATCTCTGGGAGTCCAGGGTTTGACACTGGCTATGCGAAACTTGCTTGTGTGTCCCCTGCTGGCTAGTTTCAACGGACTGTTCTGAATCATCCCATTCTCTGCGGTCCTTTGGTGAACCGGGGTCACTTTTGGACTCGACTAAACTGAGATATTTCAAGACAATCTTTTCTATTTCATTTTCCATAAAGATAAAGTCTATATTTGTGACTATGAGGGAACACACAGGGAAAGCAGTATGTAATATATGTACTGTACAAATTCAAGTGGGTAGCTGCGTCAGCATGCATAGGCTGCAAAGGAACAAGTAAAGGTTTATTCCATGCTGAAAAGAGAAGAGACACAATGTTTCAGCTGTGGGCCTTCCTTCAGGTGGAAACTGAAGAAGGCCCATCGCTGAAACTTTGTGTCTCTTTTCTTTTCAGCATGGAATAAACCTGTACTTGTTGTTTTACTGTATATGCATGTTAGATGAGTTGTGCCTACTGTAGATGAAGGATTATGTGAGAACTGAATTTTCTCTTTTCCACTGGTTCCCTGTGCATGCTTTCACACTTTATAAGCAATCGCTTTATGAAATCAAACATTCACATGAAACTACTGACTGACAGAAAGAAAGAATGACAGACAAATGTAGGCTATAGAAGTATGATTGTTTTCTAATAAATTAATAATTAACTATCGAAAAATTAGGGAAACTTTTAGCTTCTGGGTGAATGAAGTAAGAAAATGCAAAAATGAAAAATATCTACGATTGTCCATAAATTGAAGCTTGTTTAATTGCTGCTCCAAGCAGTGATTAAAAGTATAACCTCTCACAATGTTTTTCTCCTATTGTTCCATTTCCAAGACCATTATAAGGAAAAGACACAGTTATAATAAAGTTAAGGAACATCACCAATGTACAAAGATTAATCTGACACATCTATTCAAAAGAAATGTTAATGTCCTAAATCTGCAGTATCTAAATGTAAATACATTTTGATTATCTATGATGGTTTCTCAATTTAATCACAGGGCTCTGATGATAAATCAAGTTATCTTGAATCTAATGATCAATCTAATCATTATTAAAGCTTCATTTAATGCCAAAGATGATCAAGCTGCACGATAATTACTCCACATGCAAGGATTTTCCACAAATTTGGTGCTAAAATTATTTGTACTTGAGTTTTACCTGCGCACTAGCTGTCAAATTGATAAATCAACGGTGAAACACACAGCATCTACAATAAAACATATGGGGTATGACAAATCATGCATTTTAATTCTATTTTACTTTGTATTTATTTTAGACATTTTAAATTGCTTTTTAATTTAAATTATTTGTGTACTTTATATATGAATAGTCATAAAAAAGTATAATGCATATTTCTTTTTATAATTATTTTATATGCATTTATTATATAATAAGAAAGAATAATAAAGAAAAGGTATATATTTCCCCAGAACTACTGTACTACACGTTTAAATAAGAAATAAATGAACAAATAACACGTTTTATTATAACACACCTGGAACTCAGACTTCAAACATTTTCCATGGAATCAATAGTGTCTCTTGTCTCTTTGTATATACTGTGTGTTTTTGTACAAAGGAAGAAGTGTCATGTCATGTCCCAGTTTTATGCTGTGGACATCATATAATAAATAAATCATTTAATAAAAATAAATACAGTATAACCACAGTAATAAAAAATAACAATAAAAACTATTTGGAAGGAAAAGTATAAGAATATGGTCAGGTTCTGAAGTCTTTGACTATTTGCAGATTAGAAGAGCTAATTGCTGTCACCAAAGTGATTTTTCATGTCCTGGAGGATGCCTTTGGTGTCAGCTTGATAAAGTTCTACTATGCCCCTCGGCAGCTGTCTGTATTTTCCCTGTCAGTCATGCTCTTTTTGTTTCCATTAATAACTACAGGAGCACAAATCTGATGGAGACTACTTCACATTATTGATAGTAAAACATAGCATAAAACACAAAGTGAGAATACAGGTTCCATCAAAAACATTTTTATCTCCAGCACTCCTTGACACTGCAGAAACCCTATTTAGTTCTGTTCATTTTTGTACCATGTGTGACATTTCAGTTAAATAAAACCTGGCTAAAACCTAGGCAAAAGGAAGCTAATGTACATCTTTTTTTTTCTAAAAGAACACACAGACAAGAAAACTAAAGGAGGGAAAAGTTATATTAATTAAAAGGGCTTTTCATAAACCATGAGATCATGTTCATCATGATCGTCAAAATACATCTCGCCCAATCAATATCAGTTCAGTGTTGCACATTTCCTCAGTAAGCGGCAATTTTAGCAGCCTAAAACTTTTCCCAAGAATTCAGTTCTTCAGTTCAGAAGTCTGACTGATACAGTACCTTGAAAGTTTATTTTATCTTATTTAAGTAGTTTCTTATCCCATATGACTTAAGAGCACCAGTCACTCACCTGCTTGTTCAAGAATATGTATATGATAGGGTTGAAAACTGTGCTGGACTTTGCGAGAAGGGATGGGATGATGCTGGCCTCTGGAGTCACAAGGCCAGACTTCCCGAAAGTGGCCAGGAGGGCGACAATCCCATAGGGCAGCCAGCACAGCAGGAAGCAAATCACCATGGCTAGCACCATGAAGAGAATGCGCTGCTCCCGGGAACGTCCCACAACGGTGCTGATGACACTGACCTTCGAGAAAAAAATGCAGGAAAAAAAAAGCCCCATTAACAAAAAACAGAGATTAAGAAACTGCTGCTGCCTTTAAGTACAGTCAGTCCTTTCCTTGAAGGCTTTCCTCTGCCACATCAATATCAAGTTCAAGTTTATTTGTCATTCCAGCCATATACAGGTATACAGAGGGGCGAGATATCGTTCTCCAGGTCTACGGTGCGAATACAGACAAGGCACTGACAAAACAATGCTATAGATAGACAATGTAAACACAGACATTTCTGACAGGGTACAGGGTACATGAAGTGCAATGTGCACAGTGCAATTTACTTTACAGGATTGTGCAAAGAATACATCAGACAGTATGCCTGCCATTAGGCAAAAAAGAACTAAGTTTCCAGATTTGGAGTACATGTAGGTGCAATAGGTACCAGGAGCTTGTTGAAGAGTCTGACTGCCTGTGGAAAAAAATATATCAATCACATCGAGGGAACCAAAACACTGAAGGATGGTGCTGACACGCATTGGGAAAAAGTAAGAACAACTTTATTTTGGAAGGACTCTGAAATAAAGAATGTTTGCCCACTAACTCAGAAGTTGAAGATAGGTTTTTCAGAATGCTAACCACGGACTGACGTTTTCAAGGCAGCTCTCTAACTGACAAATGCCTCACTTTTTGCCAACAAAACTGGTGACATTTGAGTACATACAACAGTGAGAAATACCAACAGTGTGAGCTGTTGATGGCTGTCATTTTACTGTTTCAATAGACGGTGCAATACTGATTATTTTGTATGTGTAAATTTGATATGATACTTTTTTTTTTTAAGTCATCTGCATCATGAATTCTGCTTCTTGAAAAAAATGCATTTTTTAAACAAATTGTGTTCATAACCTATTGCTGTCCTTTCTAAACTGATCATTAGCAAAAAATATAATGTCCTTGCTCTTGTATTTTAAATGCCTTATTCAGCTACCAATGGCTTGAAATTATTATCCATTACCCTATTATCAAAACGTCAGTGGTACAAATATCAATAAAATGTTAATATTCCAAAATGGCTTGCAGTACAAAGAATTATTAACTGTAGTTAAAATAATATTGTCATAGCATGATCAATTTTATTTTTTAATGTTTCGATCTGGAAGGACAACTGAATGAAATTATATATAACATTTAGAGCTGTCAGCACTGGCAGAGGCATCATAAACTACAGTACCTTCTAATTGGCACAGGAGCACCATTTCAACCTGCTGCCTGAGGCAATAAGCATGCTAGTGTTGCTACAAAATGGAGTCAGTACTGTAATTTGAAGCTTGACAAGTTGTATAAGGTTTCTTAACACCTTTAGTTTCACTGATCGGTACTGACCCCTCTCGGCTAAAGTACTGTGTAGTAAGTCTTCCTGGCCATGTACAGTATCTGTATCTGACAAGAAACACAACTTAATGCTTATAATTTCAACCACACTTTAAAATATAACTTGGAATCAAATACTGACATGGTATTGTTCAATTACAATTATTATTGTAATTACAAAGACACTATCCTATTTTATACACTACATTATACACATGCAATTTTTAACTTTACCAGGTAATTGTAAATAATTGCATATGTGTAATTATACAGTAAGCAAATGATATATTAAATACCATAATTAGGATGTACAATATTCCCATCTTCGCATTTTCTAAGCGCTTTATCCAATACATGGTCATGGGAGAGCCGGAGCCTGTCTCCGCCAGCGACAAGCACAAGGCTGGATACACCCTAGAAAGGATGCCAGTCCATCGCAGGGCACATACTGACAGACACACATGCACTCACACCAGGGCCAATTTTCCCAGAACTCAGCATGATTTTGGACTGTGGGAGCACGCAGAAGAAACACACATGAACACTTAAAAAACATAGAGTAACAGATACGATAATCCACATAAATTGCACCCCAGGACTCGAACCCAGGGCCCTAACATTGCGAGGCATTAAGGCTTACCACTGCGCACACCTACCACCCATAGACTCAGTCTTAAAATCAATTTAGTTAAATTATAATTGAGAAATAAATTCTCAAGTAACAAGTACATTTTGGTAAATACTCTGAATACAACTGCAGTCACTGATATACACTGTACTGTATATATGTAGTAAAAGTAATACTTGAACGCTCACATGTATTTGTCATCTGTTATTCTCATAAAAGAAAAAGGTGGCATATGAACCTTACTGAAAAATCATACATTCCAGAAAAGACCTAGGCAGGATTTCTGAAGAGCATGTACAGTATATATGAACGTCTTTAGGCATTGGATTTTGACATGTTCCACAAACCAAAACGTATGAGTGGGAAACAATCAAGACCATTGATCAAAGCTCTTGCAAGTGAATGAGATTCAATAATGCTTGGTTACAGCAATTGATCCGACTGACTTAGTTTTAAGATACAATTACGGCATGGTGCACCACACCAGGCCCCAGAGAGTTTCCAGAAAAAAAAAATCAGATATGAGCAAAAAACACTCATCCTAAACCTGGTTACAACTTAGATCCAACCGACTCAGTTTTGGGATACAATGAACGCGCGATGCACCACGCTATCCAGGCCACTGAGAGTTTCAGAAACAAAATTTCATATAGGAGCCAAAAATGACTCGTCCTAAACCTGATTTGGGTTCCAAAATCCAGCACTGAGCTTAAAAAATGTCTAAGTAGTGTGTAAATCCTAACCCTAACCCTGCCTGGGGTTTCAACTAAGAATTTTCCACGATCTACAGTACATGAAGTCATGTGAGTCTCAGAACACACTTTTGAAACAATAATTGATACACCATGTTGCCTTGTTGCCTTGATTTTCTAAGCCTTTTGTATGCTGTTTAAAATTTGGGGAAGAAGAGCAGTCTTCTGGAAAATATTTTGCTGACCTATCTGTCCTACAAGGAACATGCTGTCACACTGATGTGTCCTAATAAGAGTGAAATTTGATGTTAAATATGCAAAGGTGGTTTAGTTAGCTCTTTTCCCTCCACCCCCAGGAAATGTGAAATGGCAAGAGCTAATTTATATTTGTTATCATAACTCACATCTATTTATCAATCCCTTATTTGGAAATAATTGTGTGAGGGGCCTAAGAGCCATTTGAGGCAGAGTGTTAAAACTGCTGAAGATTTGCAGAGAAAACTATCATTCCTTAGTGAAAATCTTACTAAAAAATATTTCTCAGTGATGATGAAGACAGCCCGTTGTCCCATTTCCATGCCTGCAGGGCACAATTGGAATTGTGGAACATAGCTTAATGGTCTCCTATTTAACGGCCACTGCAAAGTGTCACAGCTGTTGTTACAGTGGCAATTACAGCATGGGAAATGATCTGGCATTAAGTCTGTTGTCATCATTCATTTAGTCAGTCACAGTAAAATGGCAATAACAGTACTGGTAGCTGTTACACATGATAAAATACAGTCCAGCATTTTAGTGCTCATTCTTAAACCTCACCTAGATGTTTTAACAAGTTGTTACGAATAAAAAAAAAACAGTGTAGTCCTTTTCCACTCAGCTCTGGGCTAAAATACATTACTCAGAAATAGGGAAACCTGTAAAATGCAGTACTCAGGAGAAAGCTATGGGATACAGTATACTAACTTGTCCTGTGATGACTGTGACACTTTTTTTTTGTAATGAGGTTTTAGTGAAAGAACACCCAGCTTTGTGTTTAAACCTTTTAGTATATCCAGTAACATTTCAATGAGTTGTATATAACAGATTTAGGTCTTCTCAAAGCATAATACATTCTGTAAAATAAATAAAATTATAAAATAAGAAGCAATTCATTGCTATAACATACAGTATAACATAATAACATATGAATCTTGAGTTGTGTAGTTGTGTATTTTCCTGTGTATATAATAGAATATATGCATTTCACTTTTCATTTTATCATCATAAACAACACGGACAACATAGTGGATATTTATACAGTATAAAGAATTCTGTGTGAAGACGAAATCTTGTGAAAACAGGTAAAAAAATACACCCACTGTACAACAGGAGTCAACAGCATGTTACTGTAGCATACTGTAGATCATATTTTTTCTTTTTTAGTTGGAAAACTCCCCTGACTGCCTTTTTTTACAATAACTGCCTATTTCACTGGTTACAATTAACGGTATTGAAAGTAACAATAGTTTAATAAACTGTTTTACACTGGGACTGCCCTCAACCAGCAGACATCCTAAAATAAAGACCGAAAATTGTTTCGGTTTTCACCATAAAAGGAATTTGCTGATGTGGTGACCCAGTTTACCTGAGGTATGTACTGATGTTCTATGTTGTCAGATGCGATAAAGTAATAACGATACAGTCATGCTTTAAATTGGATTGGATTACTCTAAGAAACAGCAGGTGCGAGTGGAGGCACTGTTGTTGCTTGGAAGTGTGTCATGTTTGCCTCTGGTCACATGCCCCAGCATGGTGTTAGAATCTTGTCCAATAAATGAAGCATTAAACTGAAGTCCTGTCTTCCTTGTTGACATTAATTATCCAATGGCTCTCACTTTTCGATGAGTGTAAAAGACCCAGCAGGCTGGTCAGATTCTGTCCATCTTGGCTATATAGATTTTAGAAGTCAGGCTTCCAGTTCAACATTATAGAAATAAAACATCTGAGAGCCCTGAAATCTTAATTTCAGCCTGTTCTGTATGATAGCTATCAGTGGAACCCAGCGTTGCACCCTGAAGATCTTTCAGTTATTGAACAGCCAAGAAAGCTGCAATAACAAGGTTTCAGAGGAAAGGCTAAGAAAAACCGACAGCATACTGCAGTTCTTCTCTTGTGGAAAACTCAGTGGGACGGTTTGTCAATAGGATGAACATTAGCATTTACTTAAAAGATGTGACTGGTTTCCCAACATTTCTTCAACTTACTATACAGTAAATCTAAACATTCCTTGTTTAAAGAAAGAAATGCAACACGAATCTTAATGGAGTTTTAAATTAATATTTTGTGAGTAGGTTTGTAA